AAAAAAAAAAAAGAATGGCTTCCAAATGCCGTCAATGTTGACCCTTCAAACTGCAGCTTAAGTCTCACCAGCTATGTTGAAAACTTGCTGCATGATCCAGTTGCTACAGAGCCAAGTGGAACATGAGGAAAGTAGTTCTATCTCCACGTTGGGTTGTTATGAGGATAAAATGGAACAAAGAGTATGCTTGATATAGATTAGACCCTTCTTGCTCACCAGTCTCATTTCACCGCATTAAATATGAAATCCTGTCTTTGTAGATGAGCTGTTTCTAACTCTATCTGCGTTTTCCATTGGCATCATCTTAGGGGGAGGTAAATAGGTATGTCCCGTTAAGTGTTTGTTAAAGTACTTAAAAAGACAAGGGACATATACACAAATGCTACCAATTATTCAGCATTCCTGTCAACTTGTAATACTGGTCAAAAAGCATAGTCTTCTTCTTTGAAATAGGGTCCCTTACCTTTTATCCAATCTCACTCAGAAAGACTAACAGCATTCAAAACATCTCCACTAATGTTTCCCCAAGTTAAATAAATGATACAGTATACATGCTGTCTGAATTGCCCTGGACGATAGTGTCTTTCTGCTGAGAAAAAGAACAATCGCAAGTCTGTGCTGACGATACCGTCAAACGGTTCACAATCATGACTAGTGAGTCTTCTCAGTCCCACAGGTAGAAGGTCATTTCCTTCCTCTTTTGAGTCTCAGGTGACACAGTGAGCACAGATAGAGGCCATGGCTCGCAACCAAGCTAGGGACCAAACAAACCCAAGTGTCCTGATTCTCGTGCTTGTTCTTATCACAGCCCCCCTTACTACAAAGCAGCACAAGGTTAACCATACCTGGATAACACAAAGAAGGCGAACGAGGGTATGGACAAAGTCAACTGCAGTGTGCGCCAGTCTTGAAAGCCAAAAGCTACTGCTCCCAGAAGGATCTGACCCAAACTGTAGGCGCTGAATATCAGTGATACCACCAGGGCTTGGAATCGGGGCACTGTCCACTCTGATACTGGAAGAAAACACAGGCATGCTGTGAATTTCCGACAAAGGCCACTTTCAAGGCCCATTGAAGGCAGAGAGCTAATAACATGTCCAGGTTGCTGACTTACTGAGAATAAACGTGTTGGACAAGACAGCTGTGACCGCGAATCCCGACAAAAGCCGTAGTGAGCAGTAGAGGAGGAAGTTGGGAGCAAGGGCAGCACATGTCCCAGAGACGGCCAGCTGAAGGAAGCAACATCTGAGCACGAACTTCCGCCCAAACCTAGGAAATACCAAACACAAGATTATCTGGGAGTTAAAAAAAAAAATGATGGTAAACTTGAAAAAAAGATGGGCGACCTGAAGTTAGCTAAGCTCCAGGGTTAAGGACACAGTCATTCAGATGGTCATTTCTGACCCCAAGACCTCGGACTCCAACTAAAAGAAGCTAAGGGTAAACTGCATCGTTATGACATTCAACTGAAGAGTTAGAAGAGTCCACATCTGACGACTACAATCTGTGACAACAGCAGCCAACTCGGGGGAATTGGCCCAAACCATCCCCAAACTCAGTATTCCGTTAGGACTCATAGAACGCCTGGAAATGTAGGATAATCGTGGGGATAGTCATTACAGAAAAACGATACAAGTTACAAATGCTCAAGGAAAAGACATCCAGGGCTGGGCCTCCAGGGGGTTGCAAACAGGAAGCTTCCATCGTCCTCAAGGATGCGTTGCCATTTCAGGATGAGTACTGTCAACCTGGTAGCCCTGGTGGCGTAATGGTTACAGGTTGGGCTGCTAATTGTAAGATCCACAGTTGGAAACCACCAGCCGAGCTTTCGGAGAAAAACGTGGCCTATGGCATTTTCCTTATGCTACTCATTGTTTGTGGGCAATAAGCTTATTTTTTTACTTCTGTGCTATTATGAATAATTGAGCATGATTTTAAAAAATGGATGAGTTTCAAAATTTGAAATTTAATTCCAATTGATCAATCTCACCTTTTAAAACTCTTTGGAGTATAACTTTTTATCAAAACATCTTGATTTGTAATGTTTTAAAATGAAAACTGTCATGTTACTTGGATCAATAGTATAGCACCCTGTGTCTGAAGATTAGGCAATACACACTCTCTCACTGCCTCGCTCTCTCACTGCCTCCCTCCCTCACTGCCTCACTCACTCACTGCTGCCCTTGCTCACTGCCTCACTCACTGTCGCACTCTCACTGACCGGCACATTCACTCACTCTCTCACGCACTCTTTGACTCACACACTCACTGTCTCACTCTCACTGACCGGCACATTCACTCACTCTCTCACGCACTCTTTGACTCACACACTCACTGTCTCACTCCCTCACTGCCTCACTCTCACTGTCTCACTTTCTCACTCTCACTCACTGCCTCACTCACTCACTGGCTCATTCACTCACTCTTTGACTCACACACGCACTGCCTCCCTCACTCACTGTTTCACTCTCTCATGGTATCAGTCACTCTCTCACTCACTCACTGCCTCACACACTCATGGCCTCACTCACTCACTGTCTCACCCTCACTCACTGCCTCCCTCACTCACTGACTCACTCTCTCACTGTCTCACTCTCACTTACTGCCTCACTTTATCTCTCACTCACTGTCTCAGTCTCACTCACCGGCACATTCACTCACTCTCTCACTCACTCATTGACTCACACACTCACTGTTTCACTCTCTCACTGTCCCAGTCACTCACTGTCCCAGTCACTCTCTCACTGTCTCACTCACTCTCACTCACTGACAGAAAAAAAAAAAGATTAGGCAATACACACACACACATATTTACACACACACACATATAAATTTCAAAAATCTGTATCATATTTCACTGTGATAAGCCTGAGGTCACAGTTTTCAGAGAGCTTACCAGATGATATGGGCCTAGTAATGAATACCCAGAGTGTTTGAAAGTTCAGAACATCATGAGGGTACACTTAGTGTCCTCCTGGGCAAGGTGCTTGGGAAACAGCAATGTTAACTACTTGCTCTGGAAGAAGTCAGTCAACCTACTGTATTACCATACTCTCTCCTCACACTTGCCCATTGCTATGGAGTTGCGTCTGATTCATATTAAAGTCATCTCATCAGGAAAGCATCCAGATTACAGCTGTACGTTCTCACTATACCATCAGTGACATGCCGCTTCCGGCCCGAAATATTCTAGAATAATGACTACACACAGTAGCTATCAAACTGACAGCCAGTCTGAAGGTATTCTTAATCATTTAGCTCATAGGGACGGAATGGTTCAGAACATGGTCAAGGTCACAAACCTTGTTTCACAAATTTTGTGCTTTGAAACATGCAGTACAGCCTCTGCCTGCCTCAAAACCCCCTGCCTCTCCCAGGAACAAACTAACTTGTAATCTGAACAACATGTCCTGGAGCCTCCCCTTTCCTGAAATTTCTTTACAACGGATTTAGATGGCTTCTCTTTCCCTTGTGTCACACAGCATACTGAATAGATTTGTCATACCCAGTTATAACGTCCAGTTCATGTATTGAGCACTCTTAGAAGATTCTAGCTCCCTGGAGATAGCAGTTAGCATCTGGATCTCTGGAGGTGTTAAGGGTTTTGCTTTGGGCTGCTAACCACAAGGTCAGCAGTTTGGACTCACCAGCTGCTGGGGGGTGGGGGTGGGGGATGAAGCTTTCTGTCCTTATAAAGATTGACAGCCTTGGAAACTCTGTATGAGGTCACCACGAGTGAAAAGCATTTGGTTAGAGATCAGTAAAGATTTGTTCAACAAGGATAAACCACCCAGAGGAAATGGAAGTGGCACTCACCTGTCTGAGAGCCAGCCATATATGAGTCCACCCACCAAGGACCCAGCCATGAATAGGAATTGAGCCACTGGTTTTAGAGGCTGAGATTCACATACCAGGTCCCACTGGAAGAGCAAGAAAGCAGCAATGCAGAGCTTAAATTGAGATCAAGACCCTTTAGTGGATGCTAACAATGAACTGAACAGGAAAACAAAGGTTCTCTGTTATGTGGGCCGTGACTCTTCCCCAGTCCCATCTCAGGGTATCCTCCTCTGATATCCTACACTCTAAATGGACCAAAATTATTTCAGGCCTTCACATGTAGCTGCTTCCCTCCTATTCATAATCTTCCAACCATCCATATGTCTAGACTTCCTTGTCTTTAGACTGTCACTACATTTATTTCATTAACATATCTATAGTTCATATTCTATCTCCAATATGGCTTTCTCTAGGAAAACTTCCCTGACTTTGTCATTAATGTTAGGACCTTCTCTTGGTATTCATTTCTAATCCTGGATCAGACATCAAACTACTCAAGGAGCTTCGAAAAATTCTGATAGCTAGATCCCATGCCCACTGGTTTTGATTTAATTGGTCTTGGGAGCATGGTTTGGGCATCAGTTTACAATCAAGGTTTGCAACTACTAATCAAGCATAGCATTTGCCATGCAGCATTCAATTACTTTTTGAAAATCAATAAGCTTTTCTCGTTAGATTAAGAGATTTATGATAGCACGATTCATGTTTACATCTCCAATTCATTTTCTTCAGTACCAACAACTGCCTAGCATAAAGTAGGCCAGCAATTAATATCTGTTAAAAGAATCATACACCCAGCCATCCACACAGGGCTCCATGTTAAAAGAATGAATAAATAGCTAAGTACTGTTTAGGCCGGGTCTGGACCATGCAGTCCCTTCCCCCAGCCTCTCAGAAAGACAGTGATCTGCTGGACTTTGGAGTCCCTGCCTCTAACATTCCAAGGAGCTTCTCTCTCTGGGCAGGATCCACACAGCCCCCACCCCCACTCTCAAGGCCAGAGCTGGACTGTGCAGCCTCCTCCCCCACATTCCAAGAAGCTGGTCTGGGAAGGACTCAGACTGCAGCTGCACCCCAGGAAGCCTCCCTTCTCCTTATTGGCTCAAGCACCAGAAGCTCTCATGACCTCATTTGCATATTTCCCTGACCCAAATCCTACAAATATCCCACTGCCCCACCGAAGGGCGTGATTTCCCTGACCTAACTTGTTGGGTCACGGAACCCGCCCTGGAGCTCAAGATGCCCCTGTCCCTTTCTCTGATCTCCCTTCCCTCCCGGGAGTTCTTTCCTTGCCTCAATAAAATCTTTCTTAACTTCACATGCCTGGCTAAATTCTATCTCCGTTCTGCACCTCCATTTTTCACCTCCCAACTACCATACCTGTCTAGGAAGTAAATGCTTGATGTATGACCATTCTTCATGTTAACTCCAAATCCTAGCAGAAGAAAATAGAAATGGGTTTCTTACTTCAGTCACGATAGTGGAGGGGAAGGTACTTTGATCATACACCCAGCCATCCACACAGGGCTCTGTGTCGGGCTCACTCATGTTGGGAAAGGTCCCATTCAGATGAAGGAGCTGCCACTGGGGGTGGAGGAAACGACGGCACTTCTCTGGTCTCAGGTTTGAGTCCTGCGGGATAGAGATTCTCAAGAGGGCCTCTGGACTGAGGGTCCCCCTGTCATTAGCAGAGACAGTGTCATTGTCAAGGATGTGGACCCAGCAGCGATGACCAGGGATGGCTGCAGTGAAGTTCTCCAACAGAATATGAGGATATAATAACACTATGCCGGCAAGAAGATAAACCATCTGAAGAATCTGGGATCTACCCAGACCTCCAGCTTGATCCAGGAGCTCTTCAAAGACCATCAGGGCTAAAGGAGAAGAAACAACGATTGTATGGAGATAAAGTCAAAGGGAGAAGATGTTTTCTGTCGCGACGTCAGGGTTGATCTTGGTATCGCTTCCTCTTCAGCGGGCTTCACCTCACCACTATAACACGGCAACAGAAGGAGCTTCCTTATGTCGTCCTGGGATCAGGTAGTCCGAGAGTTCCAACAAAGTCACAGATAGAGAGTTCCAACAAAGTCACACATTTGCCAAAGGGACTTCCAGAGGTACAAAACTAAACCTGCTCAAAGGACTTCTATGTAAATGATCCTGATCTTAGAGGCTTCTGAGACGTCAGCAGTGAACTTTCAGGTGGACATACTCTGCACACAAACGAAGATACACTTCTTTAATGAGCTGACGTCCTCTCCAGCAAAAGGAAGTTTGGAGAAGCAAAGGTGAAGGACTTTCTGAATTTCCTATGGAAAGAACAGAGAGCAGGGCTTTATCGGTTAGGACCGAATTGGTGTTTAAAAGAGTTAATGAAAACTATCTTGAGTTAAACTAAAGCAGAGTGGAATGTTGAGCGCAAAGATCGACTTTAGGTAAGTCAATGTTTACCAGAATTTAGAATGATTTTAAGTTTCTGAAATAAAGAAATGAAGAAATAAAGAAATGGATACTTAGCCAAAAGGTTATTTTATGAGATTTATTGATTCATTCAAAAATCATGTTTGAATATCTTTCCAGGGCTACT